TCTACAGCTTGTGACGGCATACAGAAATCTCAGTTGAATCTTTGTTTAGTCTGGAAAGAAGCTAATCACAGGATGATATGGCCCAGAATGAGGACGATTCAGCACATCATGTCTACTGGCTCTCTGAGTTCTACTATCCCACTGCTCTTTCCCTGTAGATCTATAAATGCTTCCTTTCAAGTGTTTATCCAGTTTAGCTCCCTCAGCGCTGACCCTCCAATACTTTGATACTCTTTTAGTACTGAACATCCAACATCTGGCCCTTCCTCAGCACTGACCCTCAGACAGCGCAGCACTCCCTCAGCATTGACCCTCTAATAGTGCGGCACTCCCTCAGCACTGACCCTCTGACAGTGCAGCATTCCCTCAGCACTGGCCATCCGATAGTGCTGCACTCCCTCGGCATTGACTCTCCAATAGTGTGGCACGCCCTCAGCACTGACCCTCCAATAGTGCTGCACTCCCTCAGCATTGACCCTCAGAGATTGCGGCGCTCCCTCAGTTCTGATCCTCTAACAGTATGATCTGGTTCTTTCAGTACTGACTCTCCAACAGTGCAGCATTCCCTCAGCACTAATCCTTTGCAAGGCCGTGCTCCCTCAGCGTTAACCGTCCAAAAGTGCAGAACTCCTTTACTGTAACCCTCCAATAGAGCAGCTCTCTTTCAGTACTGATCCTCCACTATACAGTGTGGCACTCCCTCAGTATCGACTCTCCGATATTGCTGCATTCCTTCAGTACTGAACCTCCACTGTACAACGTGTTGTCTTCTGTTCCCTTAGGATCAGGGCCAGAAAATAAATTTAGACCAGAGCCAAAGAATGAGGAAGTCTTCAACATTTATGTAAGACAAAAAAGAGCAAATTTTAACAAGTCTCGTGATGAGCTGAGCAAGAAAAGTCACGACAAATTAAAAGTGTAAAAGGACCAGCATTCAGTATAAAGCCACAATTTTGGCAAGAAAGATTGTAGCCAGAGATCTTCATTCAATATTTCTGCGGAGAAAAGTGCTTGCTGTTTTCGACAGTGAAAGGTGGCAGAAACTCTGTAAAGGGCAGGAAGCCAACATTTGAATCACGACAGAAAAGCTAAGAAAACCCTGAAAATGGTATGAAACCCCAGTAAGGAGTACAGAGATACTGTATTACAAGGGAACAAGCAGAGGGGATTAACTTAATTTGGTGTCACATTTGGCATAATAGAGTGGGCCAAAGAGCCCGTTCCCATGCTGTACTATTCTATTAAAAAATGTTACAGAAATACAGTGTTAAAAAGACTGACAAATAAATTGATTGATTTATTGTTGTCACATGTACTGAGATGCAGTGAAAAGTGATGTTTTGTGCACTGCACGGGCAGATCGTACCATACGAAGTGCATCAGGGTAGCAAAATAGTGTGCCGAATACAGTGTTACAGCTGCAGGGAAGGGGCAGAGAGAGAGACAGATAAGGATTAACACTCAAAAGGTCCGTTCAGAAGTTCAATAACAGCGGGGAAGCAGCTGTTCTTGAATCTATTCATACATGTATTCAAAAACTTTTATATCTTCTGCCTGATGGATGAGGATGGAATAGAGTATAACCAGGGTGGGAGGGGTCTTTGATTGTGTTGGTTGCTTTCCCGAGGCAGCGGAAAGCATAGTTGGAGTCAGTGGATGGAAGGCTGGTTTGCATGATGGACTGGGCTGTGTTCATGACTCTCTGTAGTTTCTGGCAATCTTGGGAACAGTAGTTGCCATACCACACTGTGATACATCCAGATAGGATGCTTTATAAGGTGCATCTATAAAAATTGGTAAGCATCCTTGTTTACATGCTTAGCCTCCTGAGGGGGTAGAGATGTTGTTGTGCTTTCTTGAATGTTGCATCAATGGGGCTGGATTAGGACAGATCGTTGGTGATTACTGTTCCCAGAAACTTGATAGTCTCCACCATCTCCACCTCAGCAACACTGATGTAGACAGGGGCATGCGCTCGGCTCCGCTCCCTGAGGTCAATGACCTTCATTTTGCTGATGTTGATGGAGAGATTGTTGTCCTTACATCATGCCACTAGGAACTCAATCTCTTTCCTGTATTCTCTCTCATTGCTGTTTGAGATCAGACCTACAACGGTGGTGTTGTCACCAAATTTGCAAATGGAGTTGGGCCAGAATTTGGTGGAGCCGAGGTTTAGGCCTCGGAATTTGGAGATGAGTTTATTTGGAATTATGATGTAGAAGGTGGAATTATAGTCAATGAGTAGGAGCCTGATATAGGTATCGTTGTTATCCAGATGTTACAGCAATGAGTGTAGGGCCAGGGAGATGGTACTAGGTGTGGATCTGCTGCTCTAGTAGGTGAATTGCAAAGGGTCAAGGCAATTTCGTAGGCTGGAATTGAACTGAGCCATGACTAACCTGTCCAAGCACTTCATAATTATAGAGGTCAGAGTCACCAGGCAATAGTCAGTGAGGCATGCTCATGATTTTTCTTTGGCACTGGGATGCACTTATTGAAGCAAGTGGGGTCTTCAGATTGTAGTAAGGAGAGATTAAAGATGTCTGAGAATATACCTGCCAGCTGGTCTACACAGGGTCTGAGTGTATGGCCAGGGGCTCCATCCGGGCCAGTCACTTTCCAAGGGTTCACTCTCAAGAAGGCCAATCTAATGTCTGCTGTGGTGACTGTGGGTACAGGTGCATCTGAGACAGTTGGGATAGGTGACATCATTTCACTGACCTTCTTTTCAAAGCAAGCAAGGAAAGCATTGTGCTCATTGGCTAGGGATGTACTGTTGCCGGCAATTCAGTTTGACTTTGATTTATAGCCAGTTATGTCGTGTAAACCTTGCCACAAATGATGGGTATCCATGTGGTTGGTCTGGGTCTCAAGCTTAGTTTGGTGTTGCCTCTTGGCATCCCTGACGGTCGAACCTGGATTTCCTGTATAGGTCACAGTTGCCCGACTTGCACGCTTCAGACCTGGTCTTCACTAGGGAGTGAATCTCTCAGTTCTTCAATGGTTTCTGGTTGGGGAGCATTAGGATTAACTTCTTTGGCACGCTGTCTTCTACACACTTACTATTTAAGTCTCTGATGGTGGTGGCATACTCATTTTGGTTGGCCACTGAATTTTTAAATATGGCCCAGTACACCGACAATAAGCAGTCCTGTAGAAGTTCTTCTGTTACCTCAGACCAACATTGCACTCCTATACTGATCCTTATGCTTCAATTTCTGCTTGTAAACTGTGAGGAGGAGCACAGTGTTGCGAAAGGAAATACTCAACATTTAGCTGGTGCAAAGAATGGAGCAGTGGAACAGTGAGGTCTCACAGATGTCTGGTCATCAACAAGAATTGCAATATTTGCAAAACTATAAGTTAATTCCAGAAGATGTACAGATGTAATATATAACTTCAGAACAATGCAAGTACTGGTGGTCACACATGCAAAGAGGTTTACACAGTAGAACACTCAACACCATTAGAAATGATACCTACATTTAACAAGATACCTCCATTGGAGGAATTCCTAGGGAAACTAGCTCATCCAGAAAAGAGAACTGTCCAATGGATCAATGGACAACCTGTTGATTTTGTGCTTAATACAGAAGCAATTGTAACTGTCCTATAAGATCAGTTACCAGCTGAAGGGTACAAGTTACAGCCTACAGAGATATGACAACATCCACAGGTGAAATGACTGTCAGAGACATACGTCATGAATTGTTATGATACATTCATATTATTTTATAACATGTGTTCTAAAACATGGAAGAATTGATTTTATTTTCTGATCTGTGAAGGTCTGCTATTTTATTTTTGTAAAGGTCAGAAACTCATTTTGGACAATGAGTTCAAACCAATATTTACAGTAAGTAATGAGATTGTGGCTGAATTGCCTACAAGTCACTTGGAGTGATAACTGTTGGGGTGTTTGCTGAGTTGAGTTTTACTCTGTGAGAGAGAGAGAGAGAGAGACAGACGGGGGGGGGGGGGGGGGGGTTGTTGGAGAGAGAAGGGGGCCAGAAGCAGTTTCATGCAGAGAGAAGAAGATGTAACTAACAGCAGAAGTGCTGCTGTTAGCAGTCTCCAAACAGTCAGGACTAGGGCAAAGTCAGTAAGAAGAAAGGTCCAGAAGCAGAAAGCTGTGGAGGTTTCAGAGACAAAGACATTCCACAAGGTTGTTGAAGACATGAATTTAGGGAATCATGTTAAATTATACGTGAGTTGAGTTAGCAGCTTGTTTTAAGGGTTTTGGGAAAAAAGGACACAGTTTTCACACAGAGGGAGGTGTGTGTACAGAATGAGCTGCCAGAGGAAGTAGCGGAGGTGGGTACAATTACAACATTTAAAAGGCATCTGAATGGATATGTGAATAAGAAAGGTCTAGAAGGATATGGGCTAAATGCTGTCAAGTGGGACTAGGTCTGATTGGGATGTCTGTTTGGCATGGACGAGTGGGACCGAAGGATCTGTTTCTGTGCTGTATGACGTATGACTATGACAATTGAATTTACAGCTGTGTCAGCTGAGCAAGAGTTCTTAGCTTGGAGATTGAGCTAACTCTTCACTGGGTTTTGACTGACTTTGAGGTTGTTGATATGGTAAAAGAGATTTATTTTACTTCTGATATTTATGATGTGATCATTTCAATAGCTGTTGTATTGCATGATATAGTAATGTTCCTGTGTGTAATAAACTTGAATGTTCTTTTCTTAAAAATATATTGGCAGCCCCTTGTGAATAAGTTCACTGATTGACCTCCACAGCAAACAAAAGTAAAATAAAACTTATGATTTATCAAACCAGGTACCAATCTAGGATCATAACAATAGAAATATGAAAAGCTACACCACAATACAACAGAAAATGTGTACATTGTTTGCAATCAATCAACTTTTCTTTTGTGTCTGCATGCATGTGTCAATTTCAACTTCGTCAGAAAAGTTGGAGGGGCTGAGAACAGCTGGACCAAAACCAAACAGCTGTCCAAACACTGGTCCCGGAAAAAACCATTATTGATCAAGTCGTAACCAGTAGAAGATTTCACTGGGCTTCTCAGACTCATAAACTTCCCACAACCCAAACAGATTAAACAATCCAGCAATATCTCTTACATTCGCAGAAAAGAGTTGTTTGACATTGTCAACATAGAGAATGTCATAGTCATCACGAAACTGTTGGAAGTGTTCAATCTTCTGTCCTCTAGAACTTAGCAGTTAACACAGAGCTGGTGCTGAGAGAACAGAAATCTCTAGTGACATGACTGAGAGAATGAAAAGTTTTAAACCACCAGCCAAACATCCACAACGGATGCAATGGCATAGTGGTATTATCGCTGGACTGTTAACAAAGACCTAGGTAATATTCTGGGGACCTGGGTTTGAATCCCGCTTACAGCAGATGGTGGAATTTAAATTCAATAAATATCTGGAATTAAGAGTCTAATGATGACCATGAATCCATTGCCGATTGTTGGAAAAACCCATCTGGCTCACTAATGTACTTTAGGGAAGGAAACTGCTATCCTTATCTGGTCTGGCCTACATGTGACTCCAGATGTACAGCAATGTGGTTGACTCATAACTGCCCTCTGGGCAATAAATGCTGGCCTAGCCAGCGACACCCTCATCCCGTGAATGAATGAAATAAAAAAGAGGCAAGTGAAGATGCCCAACCTGATCAACGCAAGTCAGCTGAGCTGCATCTAATTTCATGGGAGTCAGAGCAAAGCACTGCAAAAAAAAACTGCCCCTTCCAATTAGAAAATGATCGTACGATCCAGAAATCCAGAATAATACAAGGAAGAACATTCAGGGGATTACGGATGCTCTAGATAAGAATGGCCAACAAGAGCATCTACAAAGAACAATGTTCTTAAAATCACAGAATTGTTACAGCACAGAAGGAGACTATTTGGTGCATCGTGCCTCCATGGCTCTTTAAAAGAGCATCAATACCTAATGTCAATCTCCTGTCTTTTATCGTACCCTTGCACACTATTTCTATCCAAATATTCATCTATGTGAAGGAGACCTGAAAGATAAAAGGTCCTCTAAGCAGAGAAATTGTCACAGGTCAGAACCAAAGTCAACAATCATCAATCAAGCAAGAGATCTACCATTCTTTTATATCTGAGAGAGGGTGTTCTGAGAAAAGAGTGAAAAATCTAGAACACCCAAAGGTAGAGACCTGGGAGCAGATGGGATAGTGGTAAATGTAATAAAGATATTTACACAATTATATAATGAGTTCACTATTTTAAAGAAAGCATATTTTTAATTTTACTTTATTTTTGATTATGAACTGAAATGGGAAAAAGGACTGTCTTAAACACCAAGGACTGTGGAAAGAATTGCTGCACTTTTTAAAAGTAGATTACCTGATACTCATTGTAAGTGCTGTTTACACAGCTGCTTGTTCAAGCAGTGGGTGAGGTTACTACAGACATGCTGATCCTGGGGTGTGTACGAAGGGAAATTTCCCTGGCAACAAGTAGATGATTTGTCTGTGGATTAGTGATCATTAGTTGATGACATGGACTCTTGCCTGCCACCAACTATGCGGTTAATTCCCTGGTTACTGGATAGCTTATAGGGATGAATATTTGGTTAGAAGTCATCAGACCATTGAAAAGGAAAGAGCTGTTCTTTTGCTTGCATTGGAGCCTGAAAAAAGCCAGTCTATCTCTTCCCATCAGTTCTGTAAGTTGTCGCTCTTAATCTATAGATCAGACACTTTATGAGCATGAACCAGCCACCCTGTCCCTCCTGCAAGCCAGTGAAAGTACCTGGAGAAGTTTGATTTTGATTTATTGTTGTCATGCATACCAAGATACACTTGAAAAGTGTTGATTTGTGTGCTATATGGGCAGATTGTACCATACAAAATGCATCAAGGTAGCAGAACTGAGTGCAGAATAGTGTTATACCTGCCAAGAAGGTACGGAGAGAGAAAGTTAATATTTGCGAGGTACATTCAAAAGTCTGATAACAGCAGGGAAAAAGCTGTTCTTGAATCTACTTGTACATGTATTCAAACTTTTATATCTTCTGCCTGATGGAAGAGAGTATAACTAGGGTGGGAGGGGTCTTTAATTATGTTGGTTGTTTTCCTGAGGCAGCAGGAAGTATTGATGGAGTCAGTGAATGGAAGGCTGGTTTGTGCGATAGATTGGGCTGTGTTCACGACTCTCTGTGGTTTCTTGCAGAATTGGGAAGAGCAGTAGCCATATCATACTGTGATGCATCCAGATAGGATGTTTCCTCTGGTTTATCTATAAAAATTGGTAAGAGTCCTTGTGGACATGCCCAATTTCCTTAGCTTCCTGAAGAAAACCAAAAGGGCATCTTAGCAAAGGCTGTGGACAGAGACTATTGAACTGCCTTTTCTTTCCTTCCATTTTTTTTTATCTGTACACTTGTGAATGGGGAGTCTGGTTCTTCTGACTCTGATGGGACATGGGAGACGTGTATCGGACTGTACCACGTCTCTTGCACCTGGAGTGTCTCAGGAGAGATTCCTCCTCTTCTTCAGGCATTAACGGTATTGAGGCTACATTCATCATGGACTGTGAGGTTTCTTCGACGTTAGATGATGGAGCAGGACCCATGGTTTCTGACAGTCTTTATGGCTGTTCTGAGGCGCCAGGTATGTTTTGCTCCTGCCCTGTTTGCAAGGTAGCAGCTTTCATGTAAACCACATGTTTGTTTAGGACCACCTCACCTTACCTGAACTTTGTACATCATGGGATCTGACCTTGTGTTGACCTCGACTCATACACACACAGGGCCATTCGACACCAAATTTTGTCACCTTAAGTAACCTGTCTCCCTTGTTTAGAGGAGGCATGTGGCTGGCATTGGCGTTGCTGCTGTCATTTCATCCTACCCCCGCACCCTTACATGGGAATATTAGATATAACCTGATACGGAGTCTTCTCCTCATCAACAACTTTGCTGGAGCTAACCCTGTAGTTTCGTAAGGGGTGGTCCTATAATCGAACAGGAAGTGGGACAGTTTGGTATCAAGTGAAGCTGTAGGCTGTTTCTTTAAGTCTACCTTCAAAGTTTGGGCTGCTCTTTCTGCTAGACCATTGAACGATGGATGGTATGGAGTTGTCCAAACATGTTGAATACCATTCAACTTTAGGAAATACTTGAAATCCCTGCTGGTAAATAACATCCCATTGTCCGTTACCAATAGTTTCAGCAGTTTCTGTATTGTGAATGATGTTCGCAGCTTTACAATTGTCATTTCTGAGTTTGCCGAATAAACTCGATGTGTGTTCATACACTTTGAATGGGCATCCAGAATGACCAAGAACGTTGAGACCATGAAAGGACTGGCATAGTCAAGTGTAACTGAGTGTGGGATTCCTTGATTGGCCCAGGTTAACATCCCCAATTAGGGATGTCATACTTAATGAGATCCACCTGGCCCTTGTTTACAATTACTAAAGTAGACTCTTTACATTTTTTTACCTGGTTGCACAGTATCTTGTAGGCTGTTACATGGCAAGGCAAACCCCGTTTGAAAGGAACATTGTCATCACCTCTTGTGCTTGCTGAGCAACGCATGTTCCTGGTCCAACAACACCCTCATTTTTAAATTCTGATCCTTACTTTCAAATGTCACAATGGGCTCCTTGTATTCCACTTCCTATCACTTTCCCAAAGACACACCTCCTGCCCAATGACCTCACTCCTTTGCTTCCCCAAGATCATGTTCCATCTCACACAGCTCCGACAACACTTACATGACCCTGCTGCTCTCCCCTGACCAACCTCTACTCCCCAAGACTTTCTGCCATCCTCTCCACAGCAAGACCCTCTTCCAAAATCACCTCTGCTCCTCTTCCAAGACCACAAACTTTTTCTCCAAAGACCAGCCCCCAACACCACCCTTCCTCCTCTCCCAATACCACCCCCTCCCAAGATCCTGCCTCCTCTGTTCTCCCAAGACCCTGCACCCTTTGCTCTACCAAGATTTTGACACCCACGCCTGCTCCTCCAAGATCATGCCCTCTCACGCAGTACTATGCCCTCCCGCCAAGACCTGTCCCCTGCTGCTACACCATTCTGCTACACCAAGACCCCATCCCTACCCGAACGCCCCGCCTCAGCTAGAGGTTCACTCCCTCTCCCAAGATGTGGGGGTGCTACTGTTGGATTGGGGTGGACAAGGTCAGAAATCGCATGACACCAGGTTATAATCCAACAGGTCCGTTTGAAAACACAAGCTTTGGCAGATTAGCCCCTTTGTCAGGTGACTTCACAACTTGAGACCACACCCCTCTCCCCAAAGACCCCACCCCCTCATCAGGGACTCCACCTCCTCCCTCTGGGAAAGTGGCCCTTCAGGATGGAACCACGCCCCTGCAACCAGGAACCACGCCCCCTCACACATAGACCCCGCCCCCTCACCCTTATACCCATACACTCAAGCCTGGACCCTCGCTTTGGGACATGCCCTCCGGCCCCTCACAAAGGGACCATGCCCCTTCGTCTGGAACCCCGCCCTCTCACACTGGGACCAATGTTCCTTCATATAAGGGATCATGCCCTCTCACTGAGGGTCCCGCTGTCCCTAAACGACCCCGTCCCCTCACCATTGGTCGCTGCCGCTAGCTCAGGTACCCTTACATGGGGACATCACCCCAAACGGGGACCACCCCCCTTAACACTTGAACCCGTCATCCCATAGGGTGGACCCTCCCATTTTGGAACCTGCCCCCTCATCTTGGGTCCCTGTCCCTCACCAAGGGACCACACCCCCCTCACTATGGGACACAAAGTCTCCACCCTGGACCCACCCCCTCACTTTGGGACACACCCCATTCACTCCGACCACGCCCCCTCACGCACGTTCGACGCCCTCTCTCGCTTTGGACTCCGCCCCCCCCCCCCCCCCCCCCCCCCCCCCCCAGGAACCC